CTACAGGCGAGTAGAGGAGTCTGCCACTACAGGCGAGTAGAGGAGGCAGTCTGCCACTACAGGCGAGTAGAGGAGGCAGTCTGCCACTACAGGCGAGTAGAGGAGTCTGCCACTACAGGCGAGTAGAGGAGGCAGTCTGCCACTACAGGCGAGTAGAGGAGTCTGCCACTACAGGCGAGTAGAAGAGGCAGCCTGCCACTACAGGCGACTAATGGATGTTTTCTTAATTATATGTTAGAACGACGTTCCTGATATAAAATATCAATATTTCATCACTGGGAATTTATAAAAGTGACAGCAACTTGAGAGACGGTACAATAAAAAATTACTTCCCGTGTCACTTGTGAGAACTAATTGAGTCTTAGAACATTATATTCACTAGGCATGTTCATTGAAATAATCTATATTTTAATTGACCGATTAGTTCTCACAAGCGCCACGTGAAGCAATTTTATCCTATCTCTGTTTAATTAGTCACTTAATTGATTATGAATATCATATTCGAAGAATATGATTAGGCACTTAATTTGATGATGATTCGGAGAACATGAATTGTATAGTTTTTTGGCGCCACGTGAAGTAATTTTATTGTATCTCTCTTTAATTAGGCACTTAATTTGATTATGAATAAATTAAATCTCTTTCTAATTAGGCAATTATTTGATCATGGATATCATACTCGGAGAATATGACTTGTATAGTTTTTTGAGTGTTAGACTTATTTGATTATGACTCGGAAAATATAACTTGTATAGTTTTTTGAGTGTTAGACTTATTTGATTATGACTCGGAAAATATAACTTGTATAGTTTTTTGAGTGTTAGACTTATTTGATTATGACTCGGAAAATATAACTTGTATAGTTTTTTGAGTGTTAGACTTATTTGATTATGACTCGGAAAATATAACTTGTATAGTTTTTTGAGTGTTAGACTTATTTGATTATGACTCGGAAAAAAAAATTGTATAGGTAGTTTTTGAAGTGTTAGATTGAATTTGATGATGTTTCGGAGAATATGACTTGTACAGTTTTTTGAGTGTTAGTGACGGTCGCCCGCCCTCAGGTACCTCGGCTACGTCAAGAGGCTGGCGCGAGGACAGCTGCCTCACAGCGCCTCCCTCAGCCTGCACTGCCTCAGCCTGCAGCCTGTGCCTGCGTGTACACAGCGCAGGTGTGTTGTGTGGTGTTGTGTTGTGTGGTGTTGTGTTGTGTTGTGTTGTGTGGTGTTGTGTTGTGTTGTGTTGTGTTGTGTTGTGTTGTGTTGTGTTGTGTTGTGTTGTGTTGTGTTGTGTTGTGTTGTGTTGTGTTGTGTTGTGTTGTGTTGTGTTGTGTTGTGTTGTGTTGTGTTGTGTTGTGTTGTGTTGTGTTGTGTTGTGTTGTGTTGTGTTGTGTTGTGTTGTGTTGTGTTGTGTTGTGTTGTGTTGTGTTGTGTTGTGTTGTGTTGTGTTGTGTTGTGTTGTGTTGTGTTGTGTTGTGTTGTGTTGTGTTGTGTTGTGTTGTGTTGTGTTGTGTTGTGTTGTGTTGTGTTGTGTTGTGTTGTGTTGTGTTGTGTTGTGTTGTGTTGTGTTGTGTTGTGTTGTGTTGTGTTGTGTTGTGTTGTGTTGTGTTGTGTTGTGTTGTGTTGTGTTGTGTTGTGTTGTGTTGTGTTGTGTTGTGTTGTGTTGTGTTGTGTTGTGTTGTGTTGTGTTGTGTTGTGTTGTGTTGTGTTGTGTTGTGTTGTGTTGTGTTGTGTTGTGTTGTGTTGTGTTGTGTTGTGTTGTGTTGTGTTGTGTTGTGTTGTGTTGTGTTGTGTTGTGTTGTGTTGTGTTGTGTTGTGTTGTGTTGTGTTGTGTTGTGTTGTGTTGTGTTGTGTTGTGTTGTGTTGTGTTGTGTTGTGTTGTGTTGTGTTGTGTTGTGTTGTGTTGTGNCTAGCTTGCGTGCTCTGTGTAAGCTGTATTCTGTGTGTGTTGTGTTGTTCTAGCTTGCGTGCTCTGTGTAAGCTGTATTCTGTGTGCGTTGTGTTGTTCTAGCTTGCGTGCTCTGTGTAAGCTGTATTCTGTGTGTTTTGTGTTATTATAGCTTGTACATTTTCGGCCGAGCAATGAACGCTGATCGCTTTTTATTTATTCTAAAAATGAAAAAATGAATTAGTTATTGTGATAAATGTAACGTTTTTCACATAATTGCGACCTGGTGTTGACCTAATGACTGAACATCATTATTGTATAGATTTTTAAGATATGTTTAATGCTTTGTAGGTGCCAATATTATAGATTATTTCTTAACAATAATGAAGCGGTATGTCCTTGAAACATTACGCCAGCATTAATGAAGTGTGATGAGATGGAGAAGTGTGATGTATTGCGATGTGAAACACCACATTGGTGACAGGGACTGTACGGAATGTTGACTGTAGACACGAGAGATGAAGAAGTGTGATGAAAGGATGAAGACATGTGAAGTGTGATGAAAGGATGAAGACATGTGAAGTGTGATGAAAGGATGAAGACATGTGAAGTGTGATGAAAGGATGAAGACATGTGAAGTGTGATGAAAGGATGAAGACATGTGAAGTGTGATGAAAGGATGAAGACATGTGAAGTGTGATGAAAGGATGAAGACATGTGAAGTGTGATGAAAGGATGAAGACATGTGAAGTGTGATGAAAGGATGAAGACATGTGAAGTGTGATGAAAGGATGAAGACATGTGAAGTGTGATGAAAGGATGAANGCCAGGTGCTGTCATACATCACAGTCTTCCCTGTCACTGCTGGCCAGGTGCTGTCATACATCACAGTCTTCCCTGTCACTGCGGGCCAGGTGCTGCCATGCTGCTGTGGTGCTGCTGTAGTACAGCTGTGATACTGATGTGTTGAACATGTCATCTGCTGAAGGAACTCCACAGCTGCTGGAGTTCCACTGCTGCTGGAGTTCCACTGCTGCTGGAGTTCCACTGCTGCCGGAGTTCCACAGCTGATGGAGCTCCACTGCTGATGGAGCTCCACTGTAATGGAGTTCCATTTATCCCTCATGTTAGTGTCGGTGTTGTGTTGCAGCGCACGCGTGCCTCTTAAGGCCAGTTTACACTAGTGGCAACGCCATGCGCTTTGAGTCGTTTGCTGCAGTGCCTCACCGCGCGCAACCGTTTACACTGCGTTTGTAAGCGATAGCTCGAGACCGCGCGCTTTGAACAGTAGTTGCCACCTAGACGGTGACTAGACCTAAATAAAAAGTTACAATATTCGTACCAATATTATATCATTCTTTCAAATCGCTTAACGGTAATGCATAAATTATCAGGAGTTACTAAAATCACATAAACTAAACACGTCATGTAGAAATAACTTACATCATTTGCATTTCAATTTTTGGACTCCTTTGACCGAACACTCCATAGACATTCATGTTCTCTATAAAGATCAATTAGGCGCTCTACTAGAGAGTGACTCCAAACGAGAGTGGTG